TCGGAGCGGTGAGGACAGCGAGGCAGTGGTTCGTCGGCGGCAGCGGTCCCAGTGGGTAGCGACCCGTCGCGATTCTTGTTCTTTGTGCCGCCTATTCGGCTCGGCTCTCATACATGAGTGTTGGGCCTTTGTGGTTGTGCAGTACTAGCTACTCGTGTACGTACTGTATACAGACACGCATTTGCACATGCAGAGTCGACGTTCAGGTTTAAGTTGCGTGCGTGCACTGCGGGGTGTCTGCCCGCCCTACACACAGGATACACATTAGCAATCTAGTGCATCTCTATACATCTACTACTGTCTACTGACGTATACCCTATACCGTAGAGTAGATCCAAGAATCGCCAGACGCCACCCGCCCGGGCCACGTGCAAACACAAAATCTAAAAACACACGCCCCCACGGGGGGACGACGCGAGAGAGCTTGTGTGGCTGCTGTCGTGCTGAACATGATACGATCTTCGGTCAGCCCGCCCTGCTTCTGACTCCTCAAATCACGGTGTGAAGTCCTGCGCAGGGCGTGGTTGAGCCAGGCAGGGCCGCCTTGATCGACCTCACCATGACACGATGAGACAGCCGCCCTGCTTCTCCTCAAACACGGTGAAGTCCAGCAGGGCGGTTGAGCCCAACAGAGCCGCCTTGAGCGCCGTCGAGGAGCCCTCCGGGAAGACGACAAAGAAGTTGTCCGCGCTTGTGCAGCACTCGCGCTTGAAGCCAGCCCAAACGTTGCGAATCTGCGCAGGCATGCCTTTTCCTCCCGGCGCGCCCGCCACGATCTGCACGGGCGATGTTAGCCGTGAGGGTTAGATGCTCTCCTCACTAGTACGCTAGTGTAGGACGGGATGGCCTAGTGGGTTGCTACGCTAGTGAGCAGCAACCTGCATAGTGCTGTGATCATGAATGTAGAAGGGGAGGTAGCAGCATTGGGAGCCCTTGTCGCAACCCGTTCCGCACACGGGACAGCAGCCGGCGCAGCATGTCTCGGGGCGGATCATGTACATCGGGTTGTCGTTGGCGTCGTAGGTGCGCAGCTTCGGGACGCACAGGTACTCGTCACAGACGTACTTTGTCTTGCCGACGTAAGTGCGGTCGGACGTGTACGTCTTGAGAGTGGGCAGGTTGCAGCAGCATGGGATCCAAATGTCCCCGTTGTCGCCATGCAGGATGCAATGCGTAGGCAAGGAAAAGTCCTTCTCGTTATACATCATCACCTCGCCATTCTCGTCGGGCACGGTGATGGGGATCGAGAAGCGGCGCATGCCCGACCAGAAGCAGCGGTCACAGAAGGGGCTCTCCTCAAGCATATGCCCAATCTGAAGCGGATCACTCTCCACGTTGGCGCCTCCGCCAGAGGCGGGCTCGCGAAAGCGCAGCTGCTGTCGTACGCCCGAAAGTACCCGGATGTCGCGCGTGCCTCTGGGGGCAACCTAAAGGAGATCCAGCGCCGGGAGAGGAGGGGAAAGAAGGAGGGCCGAACGATGCCGAGGCTGAGGCCAAAGAAAGAATTCTTAAAATAGGTGTGCCTGTGATAGTGCTAGCACGCGCCAGTTCGCACCTGTGTCGAGCCTGTCTGCTGTGAGAGAGAGTTGTTGTGTTTAAATTCTAAAAATACAAGCCTCTCTCACAGCACAAGTCAACACAAAACAGAA